AGACAAAGGAAAATAGATTCAAATCAGTTAATTAACTATTCATGTGGTTGAAGTCTTTCATTTTATTTGGTAACAAGAAAACCTAAAATTATTAATACTGAGTTTCTCATCTTACATTCATCTGAAAAGACTGATCACAGTTATATTCATCTAGGTGCATAGTTAATCTAGGTGCTTCTTAGTGGGATATTAGCTGATTAGTCGACTTCTGGGCCCCATCCAAATTCCAGCTGGCTTATTTGCAGAAATTGGCAAGCTGATCCTAAAATTCATATGGAAGTTCAAGGGATCCCGAATAGCCACAACAATCTTGAAAAAGAAGAGCAAAGTTGATGGACTCACACTTCCTGATTTCAAAACTTAGTACAAGGCTACAATAATCAAAACAGTGTGGTACTAGTATAAGGATGGACGTATAGATCAATGGAATAGAATTAAAATAAACTCGCATATTTATAGTCGATTGATTTTTTGACAAGGGTGCCAAGACAATTCAATGGGGTAAAGAATAGTCTTTTTAACAAATGGGGCTGGGACAACTGGATATCCACATGCAAAGGAATGGTGTTGGACCTCTTATACAAAAATTAACTCAAAATGGGTCACAGAGCTAAATGTAATAAAACTACAAAACTCTTAGATGAAAAACCGGCATAAACCCATTGGATTAGGCAATAGTTTCTTAGATGTGATACCAAAAGCACAGGCAACAAAAGAAAAAATAGGTAAACTGGATTTCCTCAAAATTAAAAATTTTTATGTTTCAAAAGACACTTTCTAGCAAGTGAAAATACAACCCACGGAATGGGAGAAAATATTTGAGAATCATACGTCTGATGAAGACTATGTTTCTAGAATATATCAAGAACTCTTACACTCAATAATAAAAGACAACCCAATTTTAAAATGGGCAAAGCAAACAATAAAAAAATACCAACAACCTGACTTTAAAATGAGCAAAGGACTTGAACAGACATTTCTCCAAAGAAGATATACAAATGGCTGATAAGTACATGAAAAGATGCTCAATATCACTAATAATGAGAGAAATGCAAATCAAAACCACCATGAGATACCACTTGACACCCGTTAGGATGACTACTATCAAAAAAACAGAAAACAACAAGTGCTGGTGAGAATGTGGAGAAATTGGAGCCTTTGTGCACTGATGGTGGGAATGTAAAATGGTGCAGAGGCTGTGGAAAATATTTTGGATGTTCCTCAAAAAATTAAAAATAAAACTACTGTATGATCCAGCAATTCCACTTCTGAGTATATACCCAAAAGAATTGAGAGCAGGGTCTCAAAGAGATAGTTGTACACTCATGTTCATAGCAGCATTATTCACAATAGCCAAAAGGTAGAAGCAACCCAAGCATCCCTCAATGGATGAATAGATAAACAAAATGTGATATATACATACAATGGAATATTATTCAGCTTTAAAAAGGAAGGATATTCTGACACATGCTATAACATAGATGAACCTCAAGAACATTATGCTAAGTGAAATAAGCCAGTCACAAAAAGACAAATACTGTACGATTCTACTTATATGAGGTACTTAGTATAGTCAAATTCATAGAGACAGAAAGTAGAATGGTGGGTGCCCAGGGTCTGGGCAAGGGGGAAATGGGGACTAGCTGTTTAACGGGTATGGAGTTTCAGTTTCGCAAGATGAAAAGAGTTCTGGAAATAAGTTGCACAACAATGTGAATACACTTAATACTACTGAACTGTACACTTCAAAATGGTTAAGATGGTAAATTTTATGTTATGTGCATTTTACCACAATTAAAAATTTTTTAATGGGCAAAGTTTCTGAATAGACATTTTTCCAAAGACGACATACATATAACCAAAAGATGCTCAATATCATTGGCCACTAAGGAAACGTAAATCAAAACCACAATGAGATACCACTTCACACCCATAGAAATAAGAAAAGATAATAAAATAAGATAATAATAAGTGTTGGTGAGGATGTAGAGAAATTGGAACCCTCTCACACTGCTGATGGGAATGTAAAGTGGTGCAGCTGCTTCCAAAAACAGCTTAGCAGTTCCTCAAAATATTAAACATTTGGCCCAGCAATTCCACTCCCAGGTACACACCAAGAGAAATGAAAATATCCATCCACACAGAAATGTGTACACAAATGTTTACAGCAGCATTTTTCATAATAACCAAAGAGTGGAAACAATCCAAATGCCTATCAACTGATGAACTGATAAATAAAATGGGGTCTATATGTACAACGGAATATTATTCGGTAAAGACAAAGAATGACACTGATTCATGCTACGACATGGATGAACCTTAAAAACATTATGCCAAGTAAATGAAGCCAGTAACAATTGACCACATATTCTATGATTCTATTTATTTGTAATATCTAGAATAGGAAAATCTACAGAGACAGAAAGTAGATTCGTCATGGGCCAGCCCCGTGGCTTAGCGGTTAAGTGCGCGCGCTCCGCTGCTGGCGGCCTGGGTTTGGATCCGGCCGCGCACCAACGCACCGCTTCTCTGGCCATGCTGAGGCCGAGTCCCACATATAGCAACTAGAAGGATGTGCAGCTACGACATACAACTATCTACTGGGGCTTTGGGGGAATAAATAAATAAATAAAATTAAAAAAAAAAAAAAGAAAGTAGATTAGTCGTTCCCTAGGGCTGAGTGTTGGGGGTTGGGGAAAATGGGGAATGGGATACAGGCTTTCTTTTTGGAGGGATGAAAATATTCTACACTTAGGTCATGGTGATGGTCACACCACTCTGTGAACATACTAAAACCACTGAATTGTACACTTTAAATGGATGGATTTTATGCTATGTGGATTATATCTCAGTAAAGATGCAACTTATATTAAAAGCTGAAAAAATCAATTCTAGATTAAAGATCTAACTGAAAAAGCTAAGCTGTAAAGGTTTTAGAATAAAATGTAGAGGGATAGCCTTAAGGCATTGGGGTAAGGAAGAAAACAAACAAAGAAGCCAGAAAAAGCAAAAACCCTAAAAAGAAAAGTACTAAATTTGATTACATTTCAATATAAATGTTTGTGCAACATTTAGGATGAAAAATGTTAAGAGACAGATTGGGAGATTTTTGCCATGTGCACAACCAATAATGTATTATGCATATATATATTATAACATTCAGAAACATAAAATGTATGCTAACAATAGCACAAAGGATAGTGGATAACCTGTTGTAAGGTTAACGTGCCATAGTGAAGTGGCATAATTCACGTGAAGTAGGCTGTTAAAAATTAAAGATGTATATTGTAAAACTTAAGGAAACCATTAAAAATGAAGTATAACTAATAAATGAATAGTCAAAAATAGAATTACTAAAAAAAATCTGAAAGCAGGCAAAAAAAAAGGCAGGGGGAAAGTATCAATGAATGCCTGGAACACATAGAAAACTACTAGCAAGATGGTAGATTTAAATGCAATCGTATCAAAATTACAATTAAGTGTTTGGTGATAGGAGTAGTATCCAGAACATGTTTTTTAAAAACGTCTATAAACCAATAAGAAAAAGACTTCACAACAGAAACATTGGCAAAGGATATGAAGAGGAAATTCACAGAGGAAGAAACCAAATGTCTAGTAAATATGAAAAGATGTTCAACTTCTGTAGTAATCAGGGAAATACAAATATCAATACAAAGTAAAATAATGAACTACCATTTCACACCCATCGTTCTGGCAAAGGTTCTAAGTCCATTATCAGTGGGTGTTGGGGAAGATGTGAAAACAGGACCCCATGCACTGCTGGTGGGAGTGTCGCTGGGCACCGTCTGTCTGGGGAGCGATTTGGCCAACCTAGGGAAGACAAAGGCGCCCCTGTCACCCAGTATTCTGTGTCTCCACGTCTCTCTGAGAGCAACTCTCATATGGTGCACAATGAAACATGTGTGTAGATGTTCCTGGCAGCAGGTTTGTTTTCATTCCCCTCAGGGGAATGGAAAGTACAGTGGAGTTTATTTATTCAATGAAATACTATATAGTGGTTAAAATGAATGAACCAGATATGCTTGTTTAAACACGACTATATCTCAAAAACATAATGAGGCATGAAAAAAAAAGCAAGTTACAACAGGATATGGACTGAATTACATCACTCACATAAAAATTTTAAATACCAAAACCAGTGGTATGCACTGTTACTGATACATGGCAGGAAATGCAACAAAACATCGGCAGAACTCTAACCTCTGGAAAGAGAAGGAGAAGGATTTGGCCTTATCTCTATCCGTAACTTTCCATTTTTAAAGAAAGATCTGAGCTGACAGCATACTGAGTCCCGCTCCTGTGGCCTTCTAAGGCAGCTCCACATCTGAACTCCCTGGGTCCCATTAGGTGAACAAATATATTCTACTCTTTTTCACCGTTAATTCCAGTTGTTTGTCATCACTTGTAACCAGGAGGTCTGCCTATACTTTTTTTTTCATTCCATTTCCAGTTCTTGCCACCTAGTAGGTATTCCATAAATACGTGTGTGTAAGTGAACCTGTCCAGGAAAGGGAGTCACTAACTGCAAGCTCGACCATCCTTTGGGGATCTCTCTCATGGTTAGAAAGAGCGTCCATACAAGGGACCGAAACCGCACCGTAGGGTAAACAAGTCACGTCCCACTCGGCCTCAGTTTCCTCCCAAATGACGGGCCTGGCCCCTTCCAGCCCTAGCACTCTATGATTCTCGGAATTCTGTCCTTTCAGGTCGAAAACAACACTCGGGCATTTCACAAAAGCACCCAGCCCCCTTGCTACCCTTGGAACCACAGCCCGCTCCCCTGGAACCCGGACTGCACAGAGCTGGTCACATGAACTCCGGGGCTGTCTTTGGTGTAACGGGTTTCTCAGATCCCTTTGTGAGCGCAGGTTTTGAAAGGGAACGACCCGGGTTCTGGGTTTGAGAGGAGCAGGGGGATCCGGCGGGAGCAAGGCTGTCGGAGCCAATCAAGCCGCCTCCAGACCCCTCCACGTCGCCGTGGCTGCGCGCTCTTATTTCTCCGCTGCTCTCTCGCCTCTCGGTCCCGCCCTAGGGTGCCCGAGGAGGCGAGGACCCCAGGTGAGAGGCCAGGGGGGCCCGAAGGGTGGGAGGCCTGGGCGGTTCGGCCCGGGCTGCACGACGGGCTGGCCCGGGGCTCAGGGCGTGTCCGCCGCCGCCTGGCTGCTCGCTCGACACTGTTCGCTCCTACCGGCTGTAGATGGAGCTGTCTGGGTTCCTGCAGCCTCCGACGAGCCTCGGAGTGTTTCTCTTTAAACGGCCTGAGAGGGACATGCCTCCCAGGATGCAGTTTGTATCAACATGGCAGCTGCTGTGCAGCTCCCCTGCTGAAGAGGCGCCGGGACGGCAGCGCAGCTCGCAGCCGGGGCCGGGGCCGGAGCCGGGGGCGCAGCCG